TCCCCCCCCCCCCCACGACTCCTTCCGGGGGACCCTCCTCGGTGTCTCTGCCTCAGAACGTGCAGTCCTCCCTCAGGCCACTTCCCACACCTCCGAGCTTGTGTTTCCTTGTGCTTGGCTGCTTAACCTGTCTCCCCCAGAGCCCGCGATCTCCATGCGAATACGCACTACATCCTCTCCGAGCACAGGTGTACCCCACACCCAGCCCAGGACCGACAGGAAAGCAGACGCCCTGATAACTATTTGTAGAACAAATGATTCTTTCATCTCGGCCTCATCAGAACCTCGGCTTGCTTTCATCGCTGGCCTTTTCATCGCCGCTTCCTCTGCCTGGAAGCTTCTTTCCTTCCCCTCCCACCTGGCCTGATCCATACAGAACGAGATAGTTTCTCTAGGTCCCTCATTGAAATGAGGGTCTCCCTCTGGGCGCTGGCAGTCCCCTTTCCCTGGCACTCCGCGGTAGCCCTTTAAAACCGCAGATTGGCAGGTAAACATGAGAGATTATTAATGATAATGACCTACTGCCACCTCTCCCCCTGGACCGCTCCGCTCCAGCTGGCTCAAGGGCATCCACTCTCTGCCTTTCAAACCACCGGGAACCCTCTCTTCCATTCATCCAATAAGCACTGATTAGGCCCCTACTGCGCTGTTTTCTTTCCAGCACCGTCACCACCAGAGAGAGACAGAGAGGGAGAGGCAGGGGGGGGGGGGCGGGGAAGCAGGAGTCTTCCAGGGGTGAGACTGATGCAGGTGAAGGCACTGACGTGCTAAGCAAACAGATGCTCGGCCAGCCCACAGCCAGGGCACACGGGCTCGGGGGAGGCGGGGGTGGGCCGAGGGCACCGAGCCCTGCTCCGTGGGCGCCTGTCCGCAGGGCGTGGGGGGTCGGGGGACACGCAGAGGGAGCCTGAGAGGCAGGCCTGCCGGGGTCACCTCCAGCACCGCTGTGTTCCCACCCCGGAGAGCCGTGGGGACTGAGGCGGGATGCAGTTGCCGGAGGAATCCCAGCCAAACTCGGTTTTCTGCTCTGTCTCTACCTGTGCAGGCCACTATGCTCTTTTGCAATTTGTGTTTTTTGGTTTGTTTCTTGTTTTGTTTTTTTTTATTGATTTTTTTTTTTTTTTAACAGAGAGGAAGGGAAAGGGAGAGAGAGTTAGAAACACTGATCAGCTGCTTCCTGCACACCCCCTACTGGGGATGTGCCTGCAACCAGGGTACATGCCCTTGACCGGAATCGAACCTGGGACCTTTCAGTCCATAGGCTGACGCTCTATCCACCGAGCCAAACCGGTTTACACTCTTTTGAGCTGCTTCTCATTTCCTTTTTCCCATGCCCGCGCCCATCCCCCCTCAGCGCCCTCCCTTCCCCTCTGCCCCCCACCCGCACACACACACACACCAGAGTTTATCAAAGTAGGAAGCTCCGAGGCCACCTCCATCGCCATCAGCGGGGATGAGACCCGGCCTAAGAAAATCCGTGGCTCTGGGCTCCCATGGGCCGACTGACTCCCTGGGATGGGCCCTGGAATCTGTGTGCAGAGACTCCCGCTCTGCTTGGTGCCCTCAAGTAGGAGACCCCGTCAGCGCACCTGCCTCCTCCCTGTGGCTGCCTGTTCCCGCCCTGGGCCTGTGGGAGCTGTTCCTCCTCAGCCCACCCCTTAAGTGTCAGTGTCCATCCAAGCTGCTTGCCCCTCTTGTGTACCCTGTATATCCCCATCCTCAGCACCCATGGCTAGACTTCCTCCTGCCCTGGAATGGCCAGCAGCACCCAGACTTGACAGGCCCAAAGCTGACCCTGCCACCCTCTCTCCCCAGAACCCATCTTCCTTCCCTCCCCTGGGTGCCCATCGCAGTAGGCATCCTGCCTGTTGCCCAAGCTAGAAACTTGGGTATTGTGCCGCGCCAGCACGGCCGTGGGTGAACCTGAGGGGGAGGGGGTGAAGGATTAAAGACAGACAAGAGAATAAAGCTGGAGCTAGGAAGAACCCTGCCAATGATCAGAGAGACGGCGTCATGGCCCACAAGCAGAGTCTTTCTTTTATAGCCTGATTCCACGAGGCAAAGTAAGGGCGTGGTCAAGATGTTTACAACGTTCTCGCGGGTTTCGGATCTACTCAGTTACATGCACCTGATCAAGCTTTGTTTACTTGCTGCACCTCCCGCAGCCATGTTGGGCTACAGGTTTGTGATGTAGCATCTACCTGGGCACTTGTTAGAAGGAGTGACATGGGCAGCTCTCCCACTCCTAACCATGGGACATACTTGGCCCACAGCCCATCTCACTCAGCCACGTGGGGCTACAGGTTCGGACCAGAAGATCAAGCTCACAGCCGTAGCCTTTGGCTGTAATTGCGCGGGGACCTGCATGTGGCTTTGCCTCTCATTAGTCCCAGGCTTGAACCTGTCCAAACGCTGTAGCCGCTCTCCACAGAGTATCATACCTGACTCTCTTTCTCCCTTCCTCCTTCATCTCAGCAACAACCAGATCCCGATTATTTTACCTCCTAAAGATGCTTTCGGCTCCCCCTCTCTCACACCCCAGAGTCTGGGTCCCAGACCATTGCATTTATCTCCTAACTGACTCCCCCCTCTAGTCTCGCCTCTTCCCTGTGAATTCTCAAGTTTTCCAAATGCAAATCTGACTATACTCACCTGGCCCCTTATTAAAATCCTTCAAAAAATCCTCATAAAAGTCCTAACCCCTTGACCTGACACATAAGACCCTCCATCAGCTTCCTCTTCTCCCCTCTGTGTGCCAGTAACAGCAGATGGCTTCCACTTCTGGCCTCCGGACCTCTGACCAGTCAGCGCCCCCTGCCAGGAATAGCCCTCGCCTGGCTTGTTCCTCCTCACCACTGTGGCATCACCTCCTCCAGGAAGCCCCCCCTGACTCACCCTGTTCCCGTCTCTACCATCATCGGTGCATCCGTAATGCCTGGTACAGAGAGCTGCGATGCCACTCACCACGCTGAGTGATAATCATTGATTTCCATGTCTCAGTTCAGCACTAGCCAGTGAGATCCTTGACAGCAGGGATGGTGCCCATTCATCTCTGTATCCCAGCCCCTGGCCTGGTGCCTGGCATGGAGGACAGGCTTGATTAGTGGCTGATGGATGAATGCGGAGGGGGAAACTCGGAGGAGGTGAGAGCCAGGGATGGCTGAGAGGGCAGTGAGGGCAAGCCTGGCAGGAGAGGCAGCCGGAGCAAATGTGTGGGAAGCAGAAAAGCGAGAACTTCCCTGTATTGCACTCCCACGACTGTGCCTGAGCTTTGTCTGTACACATCAGCTCGTTTCGTTCTTGCAACAACGGATCAGGAAACTGGCATCAGAGAACCAGAGCCACCTGCCCAAGGTCACACAGCCGGGCCTGGAACGGAATCCAGAGCTGCCTGGCCCGCACTGCCCTCCTGGGGGCAGGGCCGTCTGGAGATGTGCAGGGAGCGGGCCCAGCGCTGCCTCTGCCTAGCCGAGCGCCGGAACCAGCTGCCCACGCTCAGGCCCGCAGCTTCTTCCTCCCAGCCGGACCGGAGGCCCACAGGATTTGGCTGTTCCTCCCTCCCCTGGCCTTCGGGGTCCTCAGCCAGACACTCCCACGCCCACCAGCGGCATCATTAGGGAAGGGCTGCTGCCTGGCGCCGCCCAGGCCGCCCGGGGAGGCAGGGGCCCTGTGATGCTGTTGGGTTCTGCAGAAGCTGTCTCCCTCCTCGCCTTGGCCCAGGCTGGTGTTAGGATTCATCTGCATTCTCAGCGCACCGCCTGGCAGATGGTGGGGGAGGAGGCTGGGTGCCTGCGGGGGGGGGGGGGGGGTGGCCTGCAGCCGGAGACCTGCTAGGGCCACAGAGCAGAGTGTCCACCCAAATGCTGGGTACTTCCTCACCCTCACAGCCTTCACAGGGTGCCAGGACCTGGCCTCTGCTTTTCCTAAGGATTAAAGGGGCCCTAAGTTCCAGGAGGAGATGTGAAGATTTGTGTGTGTGTGTGTGTGTGTGTGTGTGTGGGAGGGGGGGATCCCACCTTTGGGAATCTCATATCGGGGTCCTGTTCTTCCTCCTTGCCCTGGAAGTTCACAGAAACTAGAGATAAGCAGGGGCCCCGCTGGCATAGGAGGCCCACGCCCCAGCCTAATGACTGCCTGGGTCACAGGTAGACACAGTGAAGAATAGAGGAACAGCCATTGGGGTCCTTACCCACTTCTCTACCCAGCTTCTCAGGAGGCTTCCCCCTGCCCCCAGCCCCAGAACCCAGCTTAACCCCTAGCGGCCATTCCCGCACAGGGCTTTAGTCAAAGGAGAGAGAGAGAGAGAGAGAGAGAGAGAGAGAGAGAGAGAGAGAGAGAGAGAGAGAGCGCGAGCGCGCGAGAATGAGAATGTGTTGGGGGGGGGGGAAGGGAGGAGAGAACAGTTATACCAAATAACTGTGTAAAGTGGAAGAGGAAAGGAACTGACATAGCAAAAGGAGGACAGGCTAGACGCCCAGAAGAACTTCCCTCAGCACCGCAGCAAGTCTTGCAGACAGACAGTGAACTTTGGACTGTGGGGAGAGATGGCGATAAGGAAGTTGTTTGTTGTTATTGTTATGGGTTTGGGGAAAATGATCTTTCCAAATTCCAGGTCTTCTGGGGTTGAGGGTAGAGCAGCAGGTGCCTAAGGGATGGAGAAGGTAGGGTCCCTCTCCTGGGTCACCAAGAATCTCTCCTCCTCCGAGTCCTGCCCCCTCTGTCCTGAGTCCCAGGCTGCGGGCCCGGCCGGCAGGGCAGGAGTTAACGCCGGAGGTACGAGGCGGGGGGCGGGGGGGGGCGGGGGGAGCTCGGTACCTGCCGCCGCAGCCGCAGCCGCCGCCGCCTGGAGGAGGGACGAGGCAGCGGGAGCCGCCGGGGCGCCGGGAGCGCTCCAGTCTGGCGGCCGCAGCGCCGGGAGCGGCGGCGGCGGGGCTCGGCGCGCCCAGGGGCGTCCGCCAGGGGGCGCGCCGCGACGGGGCGGGAGGGGCCGTCTGGGCCGGGGGATTGGCACTGGGGACGGGCGCGCGCGCGGGCCCCCAGCAGCACATCTGGGCGGAGAGAGCGGCGCCGCCGGCACCCCGGGGCCGCGGCGCGCGGATCCGGAGCGGCAGAGCCACGCGCGCCTGGGACCCCTCGGGGCGCACGGCTGGGACCTGCGGGGGGGGCCGCGCGGCGCTCGGCGGGGCCGGGGAAAGGGGGCGGCGGCGGCGGCACAGCTGGACCGAAGGGGGCGGGGTCGGTCCCGGGCGACGGGCGGGAGCCAGGGCCGCGGGCCGCCGGCCGCGGAGCATGGGACGGCGCGCCGCCTGAAGAGCGCGGGCAGGGGTGAGGCCGGGCCGGGACCCCGAGCGGAGAAGAGCAGAGACAGGGGCGCGGGAGCCACGGAGGAGGATGCAACTGACGCGCTGCTGCTTCGTGTTCCTCGTGCAGGGCAGCCTCTACCTGGTGAGCGGCCGGCGGGGGGCGGCCGGCGGCTGGGGCTCGGGGGACGGTGGGGGGCAGAGCGCGGGAAGCTTCGGAGCCCGGAAACTTTCTCCCTGCCCCCCGCATCCCCGGGATGCAGGGAGCGCCCGGAGGCCGGGGGAGAGGGCGGGTCCGAGGCCGGAGGAGGTGCGGAACGGGTTAATAGGGGCGGGGAGCCGAGGCCCGGCCGGCCCACCCATCGGCCGCGGGTGGCGGGAGCTGCGACCTGCAGCGGCGCAAAGGCCGGCCGCCGGGTCGCCCGGGGTGACCCGACCCCTTCCCGGAGCCCGGGCGGCTCGGAGGGGGAGCGGGGGTGAGTTGGGAGCTGGGGACCCGCCGGGTCCAGGGGGCTCGGGCTCGCTCCTGGTCTCGGGGACCCAGAGGGGCTCGGGCTGCGGGTCCCCCAGCGCCCGGAGCCGGTCCAGGCGGGCTTGGCCCCGCGTCCCTGGCTCCCGCCGCTCCCGCGCCGCCCTCCCCGCCTGTTGTTTTCCTCTCCTCCGGCTGCGCGCAGCCCGAGCCCCACAGGACCTGGGCAGGCGCTCCCGCCCCGGCGCTCGCGGCAGCGGAGCCGGCGCCCAGAGCTGCTCCCCGTGCTGCCTCCCACCCCCCCACCCCCGGGAACCCCACCCCAGGCCCCAGCGTGGGGCTTAACTCCCTCCGACCCAGCGCCCGCCGCCCGCGCCCCACCCCCTTCCTGCCGTGGAGAAGCCTCAGCCCCACATCTGGAGCTGCCTGCCCCTTTGCTCAGAGCAGCAGCCCCCTGGCCACGCGCGGTGTGGAGGCACCCTGCCCGCTCCCATTCCACCTGCGGCCCTCCTCCCCACCCTCCACCCGTTCCCCTGAGACCCCTGGGCCAAGCGCACACAGATCTGCAGCCTTTGGTCCAAACGCCCGCCCGAGCCTCCCCTTCTGCTGCCCCACCCACCCCTGGGGCCTGGCGGGCAGGGTCCCTGCACACATCCACCGGCAGGACCAGAGCCAGACGAGGGCCATGAAGACCCCCAAACCCCTCTGGAGCCCCCCAGACCTGAGCCCTCAGCATCCCCATCCTCATCCCCAGGGACGCCAGCAAACCCAGGTCCCCCCAGCTGTGAGCGGCGCCCCTGGTGCTGGTCACAGACACGGGGTGAGCGCTCTGGTCCGAAGCTGAGCAGACGCGCCAGGCGGCTGCCCTCAGGAAACCCGGGCTCCTGGATGCCCTCCAGAGCTGTCCCGAGCAGAGCAGCTCGGTCAGGCCGCCCTGCTGCCTCCCCCCTCCCCCCCAGCTCCTCCAGGACGCTGCCTGCTGCCTGGTGTCTCCGGCTGCCAGAGCTGGTCCCGCGGAGCCTTGGCGGTTTTACAGGAGATTCGGGGTGGGGATAGGGCTTGGGTCAAACCCCTGGTAAAGGACTGGGAGTGTAGTGAAGTGAGAGGCTGGCCCTGAGACAGCCTCCTGGCGATGTAACCTTTGAGCGCTGCTGTCCTCATCTGTGGAATGGGAATAGTAATGCCGACCTCACAGTGCAGGCCAGGCCCGGGCCTGCCGTCCCCAGCGGCCCCAGGGGCAGTTCGGCTTTCCACGCCCGTGGCCATCCTCGGGGTGAGAGTCACTCCAGGTCTCCCCCAGGCCTGCTGATTTAGACTGAGAGTGTCCCTGGCTCCGTTTTCTCACTCCACTGTCTGCGGGTTCCCCCTGCCTCCGAGGGTAGAGGCTGCCCCAGGAGAGGATGGTGTCCCTCTTCCCGCAGACCAGGGAGTCCCAGGAGGCAGGTCCAGCGGGGGCTCTCCCAGCACAGGAGGGGAGCTCCGCTGTCTGAGCGGGGGCTTTCTGAGGGCAGAGCCGGTGCCTCCGCCATCAGCCGGGGATTTCACTCCCTCTCCTCTGCCCGGGGCTCTGGGGGCACAGGGGTGTGCTGGTGCCCTCACCAGCAGGTCTGTGTGAGGTCCTCCCCCCCCCACTCAGACAGGGCACGCCTAGGGTTAGGGACCCTGCATCTCTGGAGCCGTGGTCCACTGGAGAGAATCCCCCTCCATCCTTTTAGGCTTTACAGAATGGACAGAGGCAAGCAGGTGGGGAGAGGAGGAGGCGGGGAGGAGGTGGGACGTGACACCGGTCAGCGTATACACCCAGCCCCCGGCATCAGTGGGCAGTGCAGGGCCCCTCAGCACCCAGTCAGTGGGAGAGGCAGGGAGAGAGGTGATGCTGGCCGTGGGGAGCAAAGGGCTAGACCTGGTGGGTCCTCCGGGGATCGCGTCCTCACACCCATCACGCCTCCTCCCACAGGTCATCTGCGGCCAGGACGACGGCCCCCCGGGTGCGGAGGACCCCGAGCACGATGAGCCCGAGAGCCAGCCCCGGCCCCGCGTGCCTCGGAAGCGGGGCCACCTCTCCCCGAGGTCCCGCCCCATGACCAACTCGACGCTCCTCGGGCTGCTGGCTCCCCCCGGGGAGGCCTGGGGGTTCCTCGGGCAGCCCCCCAGCCACCCAAAGCACAGCCCCCCTCCTTCCGCCAAGGTGAAGAAGATCTTCGGCTGGGGCGACTTCTACTCCAACATCAAGACGGTCGCCCTGAACCTGCTGGTCACGGGCAAGATCGTGGACCACGGCAACGGGACCTTCAGCGTCCACTTCCGGCACAACGCCACCGGCCAGGGCAACATCTCCATCAGCCTCGTGCCGCCCGGCAAGGCCGTGGAGTTCCACCAGGAGCAGCAGATCTACATCGAGGCCAAGGCCTCCAAGAGCTTCAACTGCCGCGTGGAGTGGGAGAAGGTGGAGCGCGGCCGCCGGACCTCGCTCTGCACCCACGACCCCGCCAAGACCTGCTCCCGCGACCACGCCCAGAGCTCGGCCACCTGGAGCTGCGCGCAGCCCTTCAAGGTGGTCTGCGTCTACATCGCCTTCTACAGCACGGACTACCGGCTGGTGCAGAAGGTGTGCCCCGACTACAACCACCACAGCGACACCCCCTACTACCCCTCCGGCTGACTCCGGGGGCCGCACAGCCGGCCGGCGCTGGAAGGACAGGCCTGCCCGCTGGACGCTGGGCAGGGCAGGGCAGGGCAGGGCAGGGGCGGGGCCTCGGGCAGGAAGTGGGTGGAGAGGAGGAGGGGCCAGGGGGGCCTGGGGCCGAGGCCCACGTGTTCCGGGAGGGGTCCCCGCGTGCTGGCCTCTAACCTGAGGCTGTGGAGGGAGAGCCCCTAGGACCCCGGAGCCCTGGGGGCGGAGAGGGTCCCCGCGCAACTGCACGGGGGTCCCCGCTGAGCGACAGGCGGGTGCTGTGCCCAGGAGGCCCCTGGGGCCGGCAGACCAGTGAGGCCCCCATCAAGTCACGGAAATGAGCCTCAAACCGTGGCTGGCTCCCCACCACGCGGAGACGGGACAGCAACAAGCAGAGGGGCGCTCCGTCAGCGTGGGCGCCAGGAGGGGGTGATGGGGGGCCTCCTGGGAGCCAGTCCCCGGGCGCGGGGGCGAGAGGAGTGCCCCAGGCCCTCTCCGGGGGCAGCCCCGAGCCCCTCGTCCCGGACAGCGGACCGAGCTCGGCTGGAGGCTGGAGCGGTGGCTTTGGAGTCTTGGACGTGGTGGCAAACAGATCCTCTGCCTCCAGCCAGGCCTCCCCTTTCCCACACCCCTCTCCCGCCCTCGCTCTCCACCCTCCTCGTGCCCACCGGTTGTCCTTCCTCCAGCTGAGACGGAGGGCGAGCGTGGCCCTCCCAGCTCCGAGGCCGATGGCGGGAGCCCCTCTCCGCCCACCCCCTGTGGCTCCTCGGGAGCACCCTGTCCGGGAACCAGCCTCCCATAGTCTGGCCGGCACCCGAGCTCGATGGGCTGCTGCCTCCCCCTGGGCTGTGGGGCTGGGGAGCCGGACGGCGGAGGGGGTGCCGGGCGTGTTCCGTGGTGTCTGTCTGTGGGGGGCGGGGGGGGGGGGTCCTTGTGAAACCGCCTGATTGTCAGCTTCCGTGTGCAGAGTCGTGTTCGTGGAGCAGGAATAAAGCTTTCCCGGCACTGCATCCTGGTCAGGGAGGGGACTCGGCGCCAGCGCGCTCCTCAGAGGGTGGCGGGCCCTTCGCTGGAGCCAGCGCTGCAGGGCTGGTCAGCGGCCGGAGCTGATGGGGTGGCATCTGCAAACGCAGCTGGGGGGCCAGGGGGGGGCGGGGAACTGGGGGGCGGATGGGCCATCGCAGGTGCTCCCTGTCACCTGCTCGGTGGCCCTCTGGCTGGCCCCGTGGGGAGCCAGAGCCGGCAGTTCTTGGCTCTGTGGCCTCGGGCAAGTCCACGCACTCGTTTCTTTTCTCTAAAATGAGACGCGGGCCCAGCCCAGAGGTTCTCGGAATCGGAGGGGCCTTGAACCACCCAGGCGGCTGGTTAAACAGATTTCTGGGCTTCAGTCCCACGGGGGTTTGGGTGGGGCGCGAGAACGGGCCCTCCTGACTGTGGCCAGGGAGACGCCCCGGCTCCTGGCACAGGGGCTGCCCTCGGAGGACCGCCCGGAGGACCTCGGGGGTCCTTCCCGGCTCGGCTCCGGGACTCGGCGACGCCTCTGAGCCCTCTCCCAGCTGTGCCTCCCCCTGCTGCTCCGGGGAAGGGGCCTTTCAGAGAACCGGGGGCTGGGTTCTCAGCCCCAGGGCCTGCTGGTGAAGGAACAGGCCAGGGTGGATCAGGGCACATGGGGACCTGGAAGCAGCCATGCCCCTGCCGCCGTCCACAGGAGACCCCGGGACGATGGCTGCCGGGCACCCCATCTGGGAGGTGGCTGGGCCCTCGGGGCTCGGTGAGGGGGAAGGCTGGGCCCTCGCTACCAAGATGGCAGTGTCCTCTCTGGTCATCCTAGCTCTGCTCTCTTGGGTCCCTTTGGCCGTGCAGCCCCGGTTAGGAAAGTCCTGGCATGAGGGGCAGATGGCCTGGCCACCTCAGCCCGTCTCCCTGCCCAGCAGGGGCCAGTGCCCTCGTAGTGCAAGCAGAGCCTGGACTGGGCCTTAGAAGCCGCCTCATATGACATGACCCCGAAAGGGCACGTGACACCCCACTGCCCCACGCCCCTGCCTCCCTCCCGCCCGGGGGACGGGCACTCAGTGTTCAGAGAGGCCCCGGGCCCAGGCCTGCTGCAGGGGACTCAGGGCTGCTGTCTCACCTGCGGGTGCCCACCCTCCGGACACCAGCCAGCACCCTGCCCAAGGCCCTGCGGGTGCTGAGGACAGAGTGGGCAGCAGCAGGTGGTGGTCCCGGCCCTCCTTCGCGGGGCCTGGCTGACCTACAGCAGGACCGGGGCACGCTGACCCCCAGCCCCCGGCTCCTTCCTCCAGTGGAGAGCCAGATGCTGCCGACAGCTGGAGGGCCGGCCTGCCTGGCACACATCTGCCCGCGCAGCGGGTGGGTTCATGTTAATAACTCCATCTCTCCAGCATGCACGCTCGCCGCCCGTCCTCCTCTCCCCGTCACCGGGCGCTCAGCTAGGTCTCGCCGACAGAATTCCTCCAGAAAAGGAATTCTTTGGGAACCAGCCGCTGGGCCTCGCTCCTCTCCATCACCACACTCTGGAGCCCGCTGGTCCTCACCAGGGGGAGGGTCCATCCCACCGCCTCTGGCTGCGAAGGCGCCAGCCTCTGCCCCCTGCGTGAGCACCATCCAGGCGTCCCCCTGGGGGGTGTCCCAGACCCTGAGAGGGACCCTCTTCAGGTCAAGCAGGTCAAGCACCCACAGGGGAGCAGGCTCCTCTGGAGGGAGCTCGGCTCCTCTCCCAGGAGCAGCTCTGGGCCCTGCCCTCGCCCCCACCCTTTATCCTCCCCCACCACTGCCCTGCAGTGGCCAGGCTGCTGGTCCTGGCCCTGCCCTCCACTGCTCAGACGGGGGGGGGGGGGGGGGCGTTCTATCATCTCAGTCCCATGACCTTCTGGTGAAGGGACATGCCAGGTCCTCGCCTCCTCCATCCTAGGACAGCCCACCAGGTGGGGCTCTTTGAGGTCATGGCTTGGTATCTGGGCATCAGACTGGGGAGCCCCAGGGGCCGGGCGCCGTGCTGTCCTCCTCAGAATGGAGCGTCCCTGTGGGCAGGAGCTGCAGTGAGCCAGTTCTTTTCCGGGCGCCGGGCACCTGGGGAGCGTCTGTGCCCTTCGGACTTGGCACCGGCGCTGGCGGGCCTCAGCATTCCGATCTCTAACGGGGTGAGTCTCCCCAGCAGCCCGTAAAGCTAATTGGAGGGAATCCGCATCAGGTCACCCAGCAGCAAGCCGTCTTCCTCCTGAGAAGCTGCAGGCAAAGGCGGACGGGCGCCCGAGGCCCTCCTCCCTCGCCCTTCCCTCCCCCCCTTTCTCCTTTCCTGGGATGAGCAAGTGGGAACTGAGTCACACACACCACCACCACTCCCCCCCCCCCCCGCCCCCTCCTTGGCAGGAATGGCGGCGACCTTGCCTGGGCTCTCCTTTGGCGAGGCCCATTGCTCAGAGATGCTCAAGGCAGTGAGGGTAGGGAAGCTCCGAGAAGGGGGTGGGGAGGTAGAGGCAGCCAAAGGTCGTGGGTAAACCAGGGGCCTGGATTATCCAGTGATACCGTGTTTCTCCGGAAATAAGACACCCTCCGAAAATAAGACCTAGCGCATGGAAAGATAAGACATCCCCTGGAAATAAGACCTAGCGCAACTTTGGGAGAAAAAATTAATATAAGATGCTGTCTTGTTTTTGGGGAAACAGGGTAGGTACAGGGGGTTGTGGGGGTCACAGAACCAGTTGCTCTGTGTTGGAAAGAGATCCAATGTCATGGCTGGGAGTGGGAGAGAGAGACTTCTTAAGACTCCGAGTCTATGGTGCTGGGGTGAGAACCGGGGGCTGGGATGGGCGAGGAAGGCACCACCAGCCCACGGGGCAGAGGCAAGATCAGGTGGGGGCGGCACCTGCCAGCGTCCCCGGGTCAAACTCCAAGGCTAACACGGGCCAAATAAACAAGGCCTGTGGCCTGTGGGACGCGTGTTTGACACGCTTGTGAAGCTGCCGCCCCGTCACTGAGGCACGTGCTGTGCTCAGCACCGTCGGGAGGGGGAACCTGAAGGGGGGGGCGGGGCAGGGAAGGATTAAAGAAGACAGACGAGAGAATAAAGCTGGGGCGAGGTGGGACGCCGCTCTCTGATGGAGAGACAGCGCCACAGCCTGCAGGCCGAGTCTTTGTTTTATAGCCAGATTCCTCGAGGCAAAGGAAGGGCGTGGACAAGAGGTTCTCGCGGGTTTTGAATCCCCTCCATTACATGCACCTGAACTCTAGCAAGCTCTGTTCTGGCAGCACTTGCTGCACCTCCCGCCGCCCGCCTCACCCGGCCACCTGGGCCCACAGGTTCGGACACTCAGGTCAAGCTCACAGCGCTAGCCTTTGGCTGCCCTAGTGCTGGGAGGGCTTTGCCCTCCACGCTGGGTCCTGCGCGTGGCTCTGTTACGAGAGGACCGTGCCCTCTCGTTAGTCTGAGCCTTGTACCTGTCCAAGCGCTGTCGCCGCTCCCCGCAGAGGCCCAGATGCCAGAGGAGACCGGGCGCTCAGCAGTGGGGGACGCTGCTTCCTGCTGGCCTGCCGGGGTCAAAGGCTGACCTCATAGCGATCCAAGCGGAGGGAGCCTGGCCGAGTCTCCCAGCTCAGGGTCTCGGGGCCACCCTGCCGGATGGCCCCAGGGGACAAGCTGGCAGTTCCCGGGAGCTGGCAGCCTGAGTGCTGTGGGAAGACCTATCGGGGTCCCGCCCTGGGTCTGGAGTTTATATCGGGGGGTGGGGGCGGGGTAGGGGGACTTGGACAAAGGATAGGACCTCCCAGACCCCTGTCCCCCTGTGAAAAGCTAGCTCCGACCTCCCTCGCAGCATTGCCGGGAAGATTCCATGAGCCGCTTCACAAAGGCTGCTTCCTCCTCTTTGCCTGGGGAGGTGAGTGGAGGGTCACTGCAGCCTTGCTCCGGGCGGGGCGGGGAGAGGGCTTGGGCCGGAGGTGGCAGGCCTGGTTCTGCTCCGTGTGGCAGAGACCGCTCACTGTTTCCTCATCTCCATTCCCCCTTTCTCCATGGTAACGAGAGCCTCCGTTTTAGCTGGGCACGTGCTGCCTGAAATAAACACGTCTCTTTGCCTCCCTTGCACCAAGATGCAGCCATGGGACTAAGCTATGAGCAGAAACATCGCCAAGTTATTTGGCAACTTCCACCTTCTTCTCTGCTCCATCTTCCCTCCCTCGGCCTGGAACACGTGTGTGAGGGCTGGAGCTCCGGCTGCCGTCTTGGGCCACGAGGACAGAAACCGGAGCCTGGGAATGACTGGCCACGCCTTGTTCCCTGAAAACGTGGAGGGATAGAAACATGGTGCCAGCCCTCTGCTGCCCACCTCCAGCCTCTTCCGCTATAGAAAACGCAAATTTCCGTCTTACTCCTTCTACCAAGCTTCCATCTTATCTCCATCTAGCACGGAAGTCCCGCTCCACCTGATTGGATGTGTGTGTCTGAGCACCCCACTCCTGTGGACCCCCGTTTCCTCACTTGTGGAACTGAGATCGTCCATGCTCACATCTCAGAGGTTTGCAGACTCACGGACAAGAACAAACAGGGGGAAGCGCGTGTCTCAGCCCTCTCCCCGCCATCAGGGCACTCGGCCTCCATTCTGGGATGCGGAACCACCTCCAGCCCCCACACGTCTGCCTCCCCATCCACATTCTGATGTTGCTGACACACAATCCTCGTTAAGGGCCTGACTGATCCCAGCCAGATGGGATCCTAATTTAATTAAAACCCTTTAATTACCTGCGACAACACAGCCTTGGAAGTCCGATGCGGAAGGGGCCTGGGGCGGGCGGGGGTGGTTGGCAGGGCGGAGCGCCGGCCGCCCTCTCGTCGGTGGGGGGACCCGGGGTCGGTGGGCACAGGTGCCCGCACCAGCCAGCACGGCCGGTGCCCTGGGCTTGGTCCACAGCCAAGCGGGGAGCGGGGCGGACCGGGCCTTGGGGAGCAGAGGGCCAGCCTCTGGGCTCTTGAGCGAGAAGCTGCCAGCG